AATGGTCGCATAGATCAAGAAATATCTTATCAAATAAACTTAGAAGTAAATTATTGGAAAGAAGCATTAAAGAGAATTGTTGCTGTAATAAAATTTTTGTCGTCACGAGGAATTGCGTTTCGCGGAGAAAATCAAATAATTGGATCTCAACACAATGGGAACTATTTGGGCTGTTTAGAGTTAATAAGCCAATTTGATCCATTTCTTTTAGAACATTTAAATAAATATGGAAATCAAGGCAAAGGAAATCCTTCATATTTGTCAGCTAATATTTGTAATGAATTTATTAACATAATGGGGAGACAAGTGCTAAATGCAATTCTTTCGGAATTAAAAGTGGCTAAATATTATTCAATTAGTGTTGATTCCACTCCTGATCTTTCTCATATTGATCAAATGACATTCATTATTCGGTATGTTAATGATGATACTCCAGTTGAACGTTTTTTGGAATTTATTCCTATTGATGAACATGGATCTGAGTATTTATTTAAAGTTATTTTATCTTTTCTTGAAAAAAATCAGATTAGTTTGAATAACTGTCGTGGCCAGTCGTATGACAATGCTGCAAATATGTCAGGACAATATGCTGGTCTACAAGCTAGAATAAAAGAAAAATGTAATTTTGCTATTTTTATTCCATGTGCAGCTCATTCTTTGAACTTGGTAGGGGTTCGTGCAGCAGAATGTGTTATGGAAGCAGTAAGTTATTTTCAATTTGTACAAAAATTGTATAATTTTTTTTCGAGTTCTACCTATCGTTGGAGTATCATGAAAAAGTGCCTAGGCTCACATCATGTTTTAAAGTCACTATCAGAAACTAGATGGTCTGCTCGAGCTGATGCTGTTACTGCTTTGTGTAATGGTTACAAGGAAATTTTAGATGCTCTAAAAACAATTGAAATAGATGATAAGACTTCACCAAATGTTAAAAACGAAACCCATGGCTTAATTAAGAAAATGAAAAAGTTGGAAAATATTGTTCTTACTGAAATTTGGAGTAAAATCTTATCAAGAATAAATGAAACAAACAAAAATTTACAAAAAGAAAACCTTACTATTGACGTCGGTTCAAAATTATTTGATTCTCTTGCTGGTTTTCTAAGTGAGATTAGAGATAACTTTTATAGTTATGAAAGTTCCGCTAGAGAAAAATTTCCAGATTCTGACTATAAAGATTTACACCAACGAACTAAGAAGAGGAGTATTCATTTAACATTACCCGGTGAACTGACAAACAAAAGTACATCGTTTTCAGGTAGTGAAAAATTCAAAATAGAAACTTACTTCCCAATAATAGATACATTAATAACTCAGTTAAAAATTCGTGCTAAATCATACAATACAATAAATAAACTGTTTGGATTTTTCTCTAATTTAAAAAATTTAGAGACAAAAGAAGTACAAGTCCATTGCAAAACATTTGCGGAATTTTATCACGTAGATATTAATGAAAATGAATTAATTTTAGAATGTATACACTTAAAAGCGTATCTATCGGAACTTGATATTTCTGAATTCAGTATTTCTAGTACATACAAATGTTTAAAATCAAATAGACTAGAAGAAACATTTCCAAACATAATAATATCTTTCCGAATTTTTTTATCAATGATGATTACCAACTGCAGTGGGGAACGTTCATTTTCTAAGTTAAATTTAATTAAAGAAGAGCTTAGAAGTACAATGAGCCAGAAACGGTTAAACTCCCTATCTTTAATGAGTATTGAACATGAACTACTATCAAGTTTAGATTATGAAAATGTTATTGAAGACTTTGCGAATGAAAAAGCTAGGAAGAAACCATTAAAGAGTATTTAATAATTGACAAATTTATATCATGTTTTTTTTTAAATTATATTAGTTTTTGTTTAATGAATTACATTTATTTTTTAACTATAAAACATATTGATGTATGAATAATTAATATCTTGACGTTATAATTAATAGGAAAGTATTTTTTGACCGTTTATTTTGAAAGTAAAATAAAGAATAAAGTAACAGAGATTTAAACAAAAATTCACTTTTTACTTTTTTTAAGTGTAATATTTAATAAATAATATGCATTATGTGTTAAAAAATTTATATACCATAATTTAGTAGGTATTGTTAGGCCCCCGAAATATGTTGGGCCCGGGGCCCCGTAAAACCTTAAGACGGCCCTGGGTACATGCCTATTCGTTAATGGTATTAATTTTATAAAATATTAATACATTATTTATAACGTACATAATATAAGTATTATTTTATTACCTACCTATTTATAACAATGCCGGGTGGTACTTGTTCTTATTTTAACTGCATGAAAAATCGAAGTAATAACAAAGGATTAAAGATGTTTAGATTTCCTACCGACAATTCATTGTCTAGAGAATAGATACTTAATTCAGGTTGATAATACATTAATACTTTATAATATTTTAATCATAATAAATTGTATATATTAATATACTATATATTATAATAATTATATACATACAATATGTTAATTCGTAAAACCGCAATTAAATAGGTAAATCGAATTTTAAATTTTTTAAGGAAATATTACTTTGGATTTGTTGTCTCCTAAAAAACTAAGAAACCGATATTTAAGTGAAAATCTCTTTCAAAATAAGTGTTATACCAACCCTAATGACAAATCTCGTCTGAACTATGGTGCTTTACCAAAAAAGTATACAATGGCCAACGGTAAAGGAATTTTTTAAAAATTGTTTTTATTATTTATAAACAGTAGAAATCGTTATATTGAGGTTCAAATTAGGTACACATGCAGTTTAGTTCCCACGCGATTTTTCGATTCCCCCCCCCAAATGTGTGTTTTAAAGCACTGAATACAATAGTCTAATTCAAAAATTCTCGTAAATTATTATTTTGGAAGTTATATTTTTCCAAAGTTTACGATTTTACGTAGTTACCTATGCATGCACTTTGCCGAGGAGCGTAGTGACGAGTGCCGATACACGCGTAGTCACTGCCCAAGCAAAATAACATTTTTATTTAAATTTTCACATATCCATAATTGTTTTGTCCCTGTTACCTACTTGAGGTGGTTTGCATAACAAGTCGGGGGATATTTTCGATTTGCGGAGTGGAGTGACGATACACTCGTATCGTCACTGCGAGAGATATTAAGCTGTGATATTGTGTAAATTTTGATTTAATTTACGAGTTTTTAAGTTTTTAATTTTTAGTTTTTAAACAGCAAATACGATAATTAAAATCTATTTGCATATATCCATCTATCATAAAAACAATCAATTTTAAAAATAATCAGAAAGATTTTTCGATGTTTTTATCGAGGATATCACGTATTTTTAAAAATGTACTGTTTTATAGTTTTTATGGTATAACTTTTGAAGTAAAAAATGCGAGAATTTTTGAATCAGATTTTTGTATTCAGTGCTTTAAAACATTCATTATGGGAAAAAAATAATCGAAAAAATTGTTTGTTAATTAAACTGCATTTGTTCCTCAAATTATTTTGATATTAATTAATTTATAACTTTTAAGTTAAAAATATTTGTATTATTACATGCCTAAAATATATTTTATAAAAAACATATAGTATTTTGAATAATTTCATAACGATTAATGACAAAATTACTTGATGTTAGTGCATTAAAATAGTCTTAATTTTTAATTCCCAATGAATGATTCTACGACATTTAAAAGAATTATTATTCTCTATTTTGTATTAATAAATATTTTATAATATTATATCATTTTTTTTTTTTTAATTAAGACGATGTTGATAATAATAATGTGGTTATCAAAACTACCAAATCAACTTCAAATTATACACCACGAAAGTTATTTACTAGGACAGGTAATTGTTTGATTAAATTTTGATAATTAGTTTGGTTTTGCTATCTTTTAAAACTTAATAGAAAAAATTATTAAAAATGTTGATATTGTTTAAACTGACGCACAGTGGTCAAAACGCTATTTTAGCGGCTCAAAAGTCCCATTTCAAAATAAAAATATCAAAACTCTATTAGCATAAGTTCCTTAAGTCAAATATAAAATTTCTTAATCATACGTTTATTTTTAACTTGTTTATACCTATATCAAAGTGGAAATTGTAAGTCTTATGGCGTTTTTCCCGTTATTTTTAATGAAATTATATATATTTTTTATGAGGGAAATACAATATCTTTCCGAATTTTTTTTTATTATTATTGTATTGTATTGTATTTATTTTTATTCTAATTTCGAAACATTTATAGAAATATCAATTATTATTAATACAAATTTATAAAATGTACAATGTTTATAACTAAGGATTGAAAAGATTCTAGTGTATACAGTATAATTCATACTGTAACCAAAAAAATTAAAAAAATGTATAAACAAAGTTTATTTTTACAGACATTTAAAATTCAAATTTGAACGAAATTACATAATATTAAACCCAAGAATAAAAATTTTAATTATTTTGTCGTAATTTAAAAACATTTTTCGTTAACATATGAAACTTTTAGATTACATTAGATTGGCCCTTTTTTCTCTTTTATAGTTTTGTTGGATTATATTTTCCTTCACCACCTTAAGACATGCCTTGACTAAATGTCCATAAGTTCAATATAAGTGTAGTATAATTTTTTTTACAGAAAATCCGAACGCCGACGACATTTTATCACCTGTGCAACTAACACTATTAACACCTAAACAAACGTACTCAAGAACTCAAAAAATGTCCCCTGATTTAGAACATTTGCAATTAAATAGCCCTACATTTTCTATTTCTCCAAAAACAAAATCATATATTTCTGAGCTAGTTCAATTTCCCAGTCCACAAATAAAAAAAAAAAGAACACAAATTGGAAAAGGTTTTAGAATTATGCAAAAAGAAAAAGAAATTGTTAGGACAAAAAAGAGCTAAAATATGTTTGTTAAAAAATTAACTGAATAAATGTAAAACTTCTAAAAATAATATAAATCCTAAATATTTTCTTAACACAGCTTCATTTCATTCTAAAAATTCTAAAGCCTTAGTGTCAATGCAGCTATTACATAATAAAAAAAGACGCTGGTCACAACGAGAAAAAAATATTGCTGTATCTATTTACTACAAGTCTCCAACAACATACAAATATTTAAGGAAAAATAATGTAGTTTTACCGGGAGTTAGTACTATTCAAAGTTGGTTAAATTCTATAAAATACATGGCTGGATGTAATGCAGAATACAATGCTCAGTTAAAAATTATGGCAAAAACTATGTCAGTTCAAGAAAAAAAATGCGTTATTTTAATTGATGAAATGTCTATAAAAAGTTGTTTGGAATATAATGAATCCCTTGACATGATTGAAGGATATGAAGATTTTGGAAATTTACGCCATTCAGGAAAGTCGGCTAAACTTATTTTAGTGGTAATGATTCGAGGGTTATGTAATAACTGGAAATTACCATTATCATACTATTTTAGTTCAACAGGCGTTAAAGGAAACCAATTAGCCGAAATTATGAAACAAACTGTCGAAACTATAGTAAAACTTGGATTTTCACCTGTTTGTATAACTTGTGATCAAGGTACAGCAAATCGTAAAATGTACACTTTACTTGGTGGTAGTTCAGAAAATCCATTTACGGTAATAGGAGGAAGAAAATTATTTTTGATTTACGATGTCCCACACTTAGTTAAACGTGTTAGAAATAATTTGTTGACTGGGAACATTGTAATAAATAAGAATGGTCAAAAAAAAATAACTGATTCCGAAGACTTCAGAAATACCTACAAAATAGACAAGACTAGTAAAACAGCAAGAGCTTTATGCAAAATAGACGAACGGCATTTATATCCAAAAGCTTGGCAAAAAATGAATTGTAGACTCGCCATTCAAGATTTTAGTCATACAGTTTCTGCTGCTATAAAAACGTGCACTAGATACGGCAGATTTCTTTTTAGAAACGAACAATTTATTTGATGCATTGAATAGCAAAAAATTGTATGATAAAAATCCTAACAGAAGGCCCATGTCTGAAAATAACGATAATATATTAAGATATTGTGTAATTCTTTGGAAGCATTTAAAAATGCAGAAAAAAAATAAAAAAACGTCATCTCAGGAAACAAATAATATTCCACCATGTTTTATAGGTTTTGTTTGGACAAATAATGCCGTTTTACAATTGTATGAATCAAAAAAAAATGAAATGGGACAATTCTTCTTGAGCACTAATCGGCTTTGTCAGGATGCTTTTGAAAATTTATTTTCTATTTTTAGGCAAAAATGCGGCTATAACAAAAATCCCACCTGCAGGACCTTTAGATGTGGATTTTCAAGTATATGTTCATTTAGCTTATTAAACTGTACTTCAGAAAAGTCTAATTGCGAGGAAGATAATGATACATTTTTAACACCGAATATATTATCAAATACACCTTCTCCATCGGTGGAATTAGAATTTTTAGATACAGTTGATGAAAATAAATCAACAGAAGTTGATTTAGTCAAAGAAATTGAGGTAGATGAAGACAGTGAAATATATGATTTGGATTTGGAGTATGAACGTAATAATGAGGGTGGTAGATTAGAAGAATGTGCCGTTATTTATTATGCAGGATATTTAGTAATGAAGTGTTTGAAAAAATTTGACTGTGAAAAGTGTCACACAACATTATTACACCCTGACAAAATATTGAATGACAATAATCAACTTTTGTTAGTTCATAAAACATACAATGTAAACTTTGATATTGATAAAGGATTAAAAGTACCATCAAAACAGTTAGAATTATTCACTAAAATATTTCTAGATACATTTAAGACCAAATTTCCTATTGTTAAAAGTCACAGTAATCTATTGAGCAAATTAATTGATTTTGCAACCACAAATATGACACGCTGCTCCAATATCAACATCCAAGATGAATGTTCAACACATTATAAATATATAATTAAATTGTTATTTGTAGTAAGAATTCACAAAGAATGTAAATGGACAAGAAATAACAATAGAACCTTCATATATAATGGTACAAATAAGCCAAATGCTGAACTCAGGAATATTCAGAACTTATAAATAATTAACATAAATGTAACAGGTTATTTTATTTCTTAAATATTAAACCTTTTAAATTGCAAATTAGGTTTATAGTAAATTTATATTATATTTTACATTTAGGTATTGACATTCGTTAAAAAAATAATTTAATTCATTAAATTTTCATTTAAACTCTACTTCAGTTTCAAAATTATTTTAAATTTACATATCATATTTTTATACATCTTATATAATAAAACGCTAATAACGCGTATAAGATCCGCGGGGAGCGCTGACGGCACTCCGCGTTTCTTCCATGACGACCAATCACAATACTTCCCGCGCGTTCGCTATAAATTCCGCTCGCTTATCTCCCTTTTCCTTATCGACGAATATTTTCGAACATTATTATTATTATTATTATTATTCCGTATTTCTATATATTATGAAAATTGGGATATTTCCGTGTGACCGTGTGTAATATAATATAAAAATTCAGAAACGGTTCAAGTGCTCGAGATTCACAAATTCAAAAAACCTGTGTTTTTCAATTTTTTGACGAAAAAATGTGCCGTTAACTCGCGACCGTCGGCGGAGTGGGGGGGGGGGACCCATTAAACCAGTAATTATTTTTGACGAAGCATAACTTAGCCGGTATTCGACTTAGAGACCCCGGACCAATGGGCATCTCAATTTTTTAGGCCCCAGATGAATTTTCAACATTAGGGAACCAAAGCCCCCACCCCCCATATTTTGAGTTGAGTGTAACTCGGCCGGAATTCAAGTTAAAGACCTCGGACCAAGGGGGAACCCATTCTTATTATGAAGACTACCGTTTTCCACTTTAGGGAACGGGGGCACCTCCTCCCCCCCCTTTTGGATTTTGCTTTTTTGATGGATTTTGGTCCGGGAGAGTACTAACACCCACCTCGCCAAGGGGAAACTCGGGGTTTTGAGTTTTTGATAGGATTTATTGGGATTTTCTTAAATATTGTTTTTATTGATAAGGAAAGTGATAAGAATTTTATTTTATCGCCCCGAGCACGGCGATGTGGCTTAAGAGTCATACATTTGCCTCGGAATTTCATCTGAGTAGGTGGCTAGGTTGGTTAGACGTTAGGATAGGTGACCCGAGGGTCGTGGTTTCGAAACCGCCACCAGGACATTAGATAATTTGCGGCAGCTGTGATAGAAGGAATTTTTTTTTCGCGTTTTTTTTTTAGTGTTCAGATTTTTTTCAAAATTCGCGTTATTATAATATTATATATATCGGTATTTATATATATTTATTTTGCAAAAAAATAATAATTAATACTTGATTTTACCGTGGCCAACCTTGAACCTACAATATAATTGTAATGTAGTACCTACTTGATATATTACAGTTTTTAGGTGATTCCGATTGGGTTAAATATTGCTACAGATTATAAATACTGTTTAATACGATATTAATAAACTATATTAAAAATAGTACGACTATATGACTGCTCCATTTGCCGTTTTTTTTCGAAAATTCGAGTTTCAGCCCCTTTCGGTCGTATCACCCTCCCCGTCGACGACTTATTCGAGTTCCCCTCTAAATTTATAGCCGGCGTGCGGCCCTACTTTTCCACAGACGAGTCCCGGGGAGGAGAGGCGTCGCGAAAATAAGAGTAGGTACCGTGTAGGTATCGCTATATACAGGCATAAATACATGCGTCTCGAGGTTCGATTTTCTTCGCGAATCTCGTGACGGTCGTCCGCTCGCCGACGCTGTCGGATCGCCCGCTCAAACTCCCTTTGAACCACTTCTAAACGGCGTTCGCCTTTCGCGGGGACGGCAACGCGGCTTAAGAGTCATAGATTTGACTCAGGTTTTCATCTCAGTAGGTAGTTAGGTAGGTTAGGCGTTAGAACAGGTGACTCGAGGGTCGTGGGTTCAAACCCCCCGGCCACCGGGAATATACGATAATTTGCGGCGGCCGTGATAAATTAATTTTTTTTTCGCGTTTTTTTTTTTCGTCGTTCGCTATCACTTCCGTCTTATCATTTTTAACGTAAATGTTCCGATTTTTTTCAAAATTCGAGTTTTAACGCCTCTACTGACTTCGGACCTCCCCGTTGAAGACTTACTCGCGTTCCCCGTCAAATGATTTAGCAGAGCGGACAGTGTCTTTATTACTATGCATGGGCGTGAATATATTATGCGACGAAGAGTTCGATTTCTTTTTTTTTTTTCTTTTTTTTCAAAAATTTGAGTTTTTGAAAGGAGCTCCTTTTGGTCGTATTACCCTCCCCGTTTGAATCTTATTCGCGTTCCCCGCTAAATTTATAGCCGGTGCGCGGCCCTACTTTTTCACAGACGAGTCCCGGGAAAGAGCGGCGTCGCGGAAAAGGGAGTAGGTACCGTGTATGTATCGCTATAAACAGCAATAAATACATGCGTCGCGTCGTTTTTTCCTGTTTTTTTCTAAAATTCGTTTCTTGGACGTTTTAGTGGTTTTACCCTGCCTGTTTGGATGTTATTGGCATTCCCCGCTAAATTTATAAGCCGCCGTCGTCAGTACTTCGCTCGAGTCGTGTTCCGCGGAGGAGATCGGGGAGCGGACAGTGTTGTTATTACTTTATACGGAAATGAAAATATGCGACAAAAAGTTCGATTTTTTCATACACATAATACATAAGTCATAACACAGTTATGCACCATTTTAATTATGCAATTATAATTACTAAATAATTTAAAACATCATATGACATTTAATAAATTGGTAGGTAGGTACATCATATATTATATACAGACATACAATATAACAGCAAAATATTATGATAGTAGGTACTTACGAAGATAAGTGCCAAAAAATTTTATAGTGTATTCATTTATATATGCCTACGTTTAATATGATAGTATTACATTTCAATAAAATTTGTTATTCACCAATATAATTATCTATTTGTTAATTTGATTTAATTCTCATAATTAAATAAATATACATGGTAGGTATATCAGATTTAAACGGCCGTTTCGAGCACTTTTCGCTGTAGGCGGATTGTCCGTTCGGGAATCGACTTTCACCCGAGATGATTGATAGGCGATAGCTAGACACTCAAACTCAGAACCCGAATTTCCGATTTCAACACACATACGATAACCGGACATACACGTCCGGTGCATGGTCTGCGATCCGACGTAGTCGGATTGCCTACCTGACTAGCTACTTGCATACGAGCGACTTACACCCCCACTGCACCTGACACTCGGGAATCGACTTCCACCCGAGATGACTGATAGCTAGACACTCAAACTCAGAACCTGAATTTCCGATTTCAACACACATACGAGAACCGGACATACACACCCGGTGCATGGTCTGCGATCCGACGTAGTCGGATTGCCTACCTGACTAGCTACTTGCATACGAGCGACTTACACCCCCACTGCATCTGACACTCGGGAATCGACTTTCACCCGAGATGACTGATAGCTAGACACTCAAACTCAGAGAACCCGAATTTCCGATTTCAACACACATATGAGATGACTGATAGCTAGACACTCAAACTCAGAACCTGAATTTCCGATTTCAACACACATACGACCGGTGCATGGTCTGCGATGCCTTGCCTTTCTGGCTGGCTGTGTCTTACGATCGACTTGAATCGCGTGACTTACGACTAGACACTCTTCCGAGCTCAAAAATTACCGCTTAACCAGTGCTGCCAACACGACAAAACACAATATCCGACGACCCCCCCTTCCCGTCGCAGGCCGGATCAAAAAACCCAGCATCGTCGACAAAGATGCACCACCGTCTACACAGTCTTTCCGCCGCAGATAAAGGTGATAAAGGTCAAGATTATAAGATAAAATATATGTACTTGATTCAAAATTTTAGAACTTGTGATGATGTGGTCACCCATCCAAAAAAATAAATAATTAATTTAAGTGGGTTCGATCTAAACTAACCGAATATGAATACAAAATAGATGTACAAATAAAATTGTTATTTTAAAAACAAATGAAAATCGTAAGTTATGATCTTTTAAAACGGTCACCCATCCAAAAAAAATTCATTTGAAATTTGAATATAAATATATTCATAAATCGAATAAGAAGAAAATTATATTTAGGAAACACAGTTTTAATTTGCCAATTTTTAAAACCAGTCTAGAAGTGGTCACCCATCCAAAACAATAAATAATGAGTTTAAGTAGGTTCAATCTAAACTAACCGAATATGAATAAAAATATAAGTATAACTGTTTTCCACTAAACAGATTCTTGAAAATCGTAAAAATATTTTTGAAAGCGGGCACCCATCCACGAAAAAGTACACTGTACTATTACATAATGTTACTTACACTCAAAGTCTTATAATTTTAATAAGATAATCATTAAAATAAAATGTTTTAAATAATGTCGATTTTCAGTTTTTGAGACGGTCACCCATCCAAAAAAAATGTGTTTTTAATTAGTAGTTAAAATCAAATACGAACATTAATTTTGAAAAAATTGTATTGATAAAAAGCCGATTTTCTACAATGTCAGAAAAATGTTTTGATGGTCACCCATCCAAACAATATATTTATAAATAATAAAATAACAATATTATTATTATTGAGCCATCACTAAAAATTTAATTTATTTGGGTATGTATTTTATGGCATTAAGACGACTGTAAATGGCAACATGTCATCGTTCGATTTGGCAACGTCAAGTGATGAGCAGGTGCGTCAAATAAATTATTATGTAAAACAATAATATTATAAAAGTAATTTTATTATTATTATTATTATTTTACTGCACCTACTAAAAAATAAAGTAATATTGTTAATTACTGGTAGCGCGCTCTATTGCCAGCGACATTGAACTAATCTAGCGTAGCATAAAATATCGAGCACTGTTTCTCTATAATATCTATACTCAATGATATTACTTTGTATTCTAAATAATATGATAATATGAAGTCTATGTTATATTATTTCAAGTATTACTATACATCGTAATATTATGGTGTAATTATTTTAATAATTCAGAAAATATACTCATTAGACTTTTGATGC